CAAGTCATAACTTGTATTTAAATCAGATATTTAGCCATTATAACAATTTAAGCGACCGTGCTAGAACCACGGGATTCGAGGGTGCCTAACACCTTCCCTCGGGTCAACAGAATTCCTTACTTAGAATTTCTGGTTCGCAGACTTCATTTGGAAAAGTCGAAAATCTCCTCGATTTGGGATTTAAGATAAAACCGGTGACTTGGGACACCAAAAGCCAAACCTTTCCCAAGTGGCGACTCTGAATTAAATAAATAATCTCATTTCGAATATTGTCACTTAAATTGGAAAAACTCCCCTTGCGCATTTAACCCTTCGGGGTCGGGCGCGCAAAAAGGAGGTGTGACAATATACCCTACAATAACATAATTATTTATAATAAGTTTAATTAGGTAACCTAGAAAATAAAGTAAATAACCTACTATAATAAATAAAAGGAAAAATTTTATATTAAAACAATTGGGTTGCTTCCTTTTCGACTTTATAGCCAATATTTCAATTTACAATTGAGTAGCCCAAAAATAAGTGGCCCATATCCGAAAAAGGGGGTGTTATTTTCGTTTTTTGGGAGTCAGAAATGGGATTTTGTATCTTTCAACGGGATTTTCTCTCATTCTTTCCCAAATCTACAAAAACGAGATCTTGTGATCAATGCAGCTCCAAAACCCCTAGAAATTCTTCTTCATCTCGAATTAACAACAAATCAAACACGAAAAGTGAATTTTTTTGCTGCGAATCAACGCAATTTTCATTTTTGCTGCAATTTTGATTTCAACTTTTTGTTCGATGGAACTTTTTCCAGTTTACATTCTTTATAGTGGTGAATGGGAAGAAAACAAGTTTATCAATTTCGTCAGCGATTGTGTAATAATCGAGTCGACATTCAGCTACAACAATTTAGTTGCGGCTATTTCGGAACAGATTAGGATCGATAGTGAGTTAAACGCAATAGAGATTAACTTTCTCCCAAATGATGGTTTGCCACCGATTCTGATTTACAACGACACAAGTGTTAAGGTGTATATCGAATTAAAGAAGAAAAACTTGAATTTCACTGAATACCCCTTATTTGTAACAGTGAAAGAGATTTATGATAATCGTTTGGTTGCTACAAGTTCCAGTTGTTTGGTTGTTACAAGTTCCAGTCGTTTGGTTGCTACAAGTTCCAGTTGTTTGGTTGCTACAAGTTCTAGTAGTTTGGTTGCTACAAGTTCCAATTCTATAGATGTATCCACAATTGATAGCACTGAGATTATGACTGATATCGAATTGATTGAAAACACGAAACTTAGTGAAAACACGGGTATAATAGATATTATGTTGAACGAATTTTTTGAGGAGGATCAAGTTTATAAAGATAAAGAGACAGTTATGAATGTGATGAAGAACTTGGTTGTACGCGAGAGGTTCCAATTCAAGGTGAAGAGATCAAGCGCAACAAGGCATGTCAATAATTGTATATTCTATTATATATATGTATAAATATGTATAAAGTAGTATATATTTGTATATAATGTATTAAAATTAGTATATATCTAGTTATATTTTTGTATGCAAGTATATTTAGTAGTTGAATGATCTTTAATCCTAGGTATCACCTTATGTGTGTGGATGACAATTGTGCTTGGAGTTTCAAATCTTCTGCCGTTTTCAAGGCAAACATATTCAAAGTGAGATGTTACAATAATAATCACACATGCGGCTATGGTGAAAGATACTTAACACAACGACAAGCTACTTCGAGTGTAATTGCTAGTATAGTCAAGGACAAGTATGTTAATCCAAAAAACGTTTACACAGCAAATGATATAATAGAGGACATACAAAAGCAACACGAGATTGAAGTGAGCTATATGAAAGTATGGAGAGCTAAAGAGATAGCAATGGCAATGATAAGAGGGAGTCCGAGTGATTCATATAAGGAGTTACCGAAGTATTTTTATATGTTGGAGCATACAAATCCAGGAACGGTTACAAAGTTGCACAAATCAGAAGATGGATGCTTTCTTTATGCATATGTTTCGCTTTATGCACCTATCAAGGGCTGGGAGCATTGCAGACCGATAATGGTTGTGAGCACGTGATTTTTGCTTCACGAAAACTACTCCAAAAGAAATCAAAAATAAAACAAAATTCTCTTGGTGTACAATTTTTAAGATTTGCGTGGTATTTTTGATAATTATTTGTGTTTTGTCCGTAAATATTTACCTTGTTGTAGTTAATTGAAAAAAGAAATAAACATGTTGCAGGCATATTTAGGATTTAATCATGCATTTAGGAATTAATTAAACCATCATTTGGCTCCAAAAGGAAAATCACAAAAATATGTGTTTTATTCTATTTGTTGTCATTGTGTGATTTTATTTTAAGATTTTAATTTGTGTGTTAATTGTTGTAAGTGTTAATTAATATTTGTGTAGTTTTATTTTTTGATTGTACAATTTAATTAGGAATTGTTTTTTTTAAATTAAATTAAAGAAAGAAAAGGAAAAGAGTTAAAAAATGAAGAAAATTCGGACTTGGCCAGTTTTTAAAAGAGAGCTCAGGCCCAAAAGTCACACGCCCACCCGGTCCATGTCTGTCAACCCAAAAGACCATCAAACGACGTAGTATAAGGCAAGAGCTACGTCGTTTTAATGGTGCCCAGTCCAGTTAATCTCAGATAACCCCAAACGACGCCGTATTGGCACCTCAAATCTGAGTCGTTGATCAAACTGGATCGAACGACCCAGTTCAACCCATGCATAGTTAAAACGGCGCTGTTTCAGGCATGTCAATCTAAACCGTCCATCTCCATTGATCCAACGGTCCCAAGCTTCCATCACAACCCGGTCCATTTCGACCCGGGTTGACCCAGTCTCTGAATAAGACCAAACGGTGTCGTCCCCTTTAAGTGAATTGATCCAGGCCGTGGATCGTGATTGATCCAATGGCCAAGATCGAAACAACCCCTCCGTATATAAAGGCCAATTCTTTACCCCAACCCCCCCTCCCAAGCCAAAACACCACATCTCTTCATCGTCTCTATGCTTTAGAGACCAGATAACCCTCCGCCTCTTACCACCGTTGACCACCCACCGGAAATCGCCTCACGACGATTCCGGTTGTCCAAACGACCCCAAAATTACACCATAGCTTCCCCACGACATCCTCTTTCCATATATGGTATTAGTTTCCTTCGAATCATCACCAATCTGCTCGAATCTTCAATCAAAGAGTTCGTCTGAAACTTCACCTATTCCGATGACCACCAAATTAACACCACAACATCCCCTGACCACCCTCGTCATGGATCTACTGACCTTTTACCTCGAATCACCCCACAGCCTCTCGAATCTTCATTGAAGATTCGAGCAAAACCCCAACCTACCCCAAACTCATACCAGATATCCACCAGACCTCCCTCACCCCTGAACAATTACTGGTTCCCTTCGAATTACGATGGAACCATTCGAACCCCAAATCGACTGTATGAACCCTAGAATCACTGGAACCTTGGGGTCTGTCCAAATTAAATGAAGGGTTGGGGTCTAATAGACCTTAATCGAGGTGTTCTCAGTTGAGAACACTTCGATTAAAGTCTATTCGACCTCAAAGTGCCTAAGTCTGAGTTCGAACCTGGATTCGTATAGTTCTAAGGTTCTGAGGTATTTTGTTTTTCTTTTTTCGTCATTCTGTATTCATGATTTTCTATATATGTATCTGTTTAGTTTAGTTTTATTAATTTTCCATACTTTTTCAATTCATCTGTTCATCTTCAGTAGACCTTTTTATTTGGTCCAATTCTATCATTTGTTTATGTTTACTATAATTGTTATGTATTATTATTTGTATAATCGATTAATAAGTTGTGTCGGTTAATTAATTTACAGTAAATCCTTGTTCTTGTCAATATTACTTGAATTGCATGATTGTTTATTTTCTAAGTGATTGCTGTCAATTGTTGTAAGCAATTGGTTAATTAGTTTTCATCGACTAACTCGTTCTTGTTTGTAGATCAATAATTTCGTCAAAAAGTTGTTGTGTATGCTGATCTGTGGACATTTAGTTAGGGCATTGTCAATAGGCTAACAATGATCTTGCATTCATGTTGATTCTGATTTTATTATTCAGTTCCAACTTTAAGAATTTTATTGAGTTCTATATTGTGTTAAGTCTGGACTTGATTTAAATTTCAGTTCATTTTGTTTCAATTGAATTCTAACCTTAGTCATTCAGTTATCAGAATTAAGTTTGGTTATAGCTGTTAGTCAAGTTTAATTTTCAAACCTTTGTTAAGCTGGAACAGATTTCAGAATTAAAGTGTAAAACAGTTAATAGTTGTATTAGGAAGTCAGTAATATCCAGGGGTTTTCAGGGTTGATTTAGGAATGAAATAGTTAGGATTATATTTTAATGTTAGTGCTTTGTTAGTGGGATATTAATTAACAAACTAATGGGAAACAAAAGGGAATGGGGGGCTGAAAATAAGGAAAAAGCTTCCTTAGTGGGATTTAGAGTGAAAAATTAGATTTTTAGTGGAAAATTCTGATTTGAATAAGAAAAAGGGGTCGGGCAGTATGTTTGAAAGGGGAGCAGACTTGTATAAAAGAGTGTAGAGGATGGAAGTTAAAAGAGAGGTAATCAGAAAGAGAAAAAAAAAATCTGGAGAAATAGAGGACATATAGGCTATGTTATCTTACTAAGTGAGGAATAGAGTAAATTGTTTAAGGTTAAGCTTTACATCAAAGAGCTTCAGTTTGTTTTCTTCTTTGAGGGTTCATGATCAGAAAGCCACAGTTTTCTTGCATTTGTCCCTCTTCTGTTTTGACTGTAACTGCTTTGGGGTATTGTTTGGTTTGAATTTGGATTTTCCTGGGATTTCTGTTTTTTTAAGCCCTGTTCTATTGAGCTGCTGGGTCATTCTCTTGTTTTCAATCTGATCCTGGGATTTATGTTACTGTTATTACTGGTTTTGCTGTATTGCTGAACCTGCTGTTGTTGTTGTTGATGCACTGTTACTACCCTGCTGATCTCTCATCTTCTTCTTCTTTTATTTCAATACCAGGTACACTTTCAGATCAATACTGATGCGGCTGTGAGATATAAAAGTAAAAAATGAAATGCTAGGTTGTTTTTGATGAATTAGTGTTGTATCTATAGTGTAATAAGTCATATGTATTTATATAGTTTAGTTTTATAGCCCAAATGGAATGCATGACGTAGTCTTGCATTTAACTGAAACTGTTTGGTTTTCAAATTATAGTTTGTAGTTGTCATCTACAGATTCCATGTAGTAAAACATGTACTTTGTAAAATGAACAAATAAGTTAGTATTAGTTGCCTTATTTCATCTCTAACTTTCTTGGGTATTTGGGGAAAAGTTTGAATAAGCAGTATTTGATTCCGTTAGGCAGCATATAGGCCAATATTCGAATCCATGTTGATAACGTTTCTTATCCGTTAATTCAAATAGTTTAAATCAATTTTAGGAATGTTAGTTTAAATCAATTTTATATGCATTTCTTAATTTTAGCTTTAAAAGTTCACTTATAGAATAAAAACATTTTTTTACGAATTTGAGTATAAATTACCGTTATCATCAACTGTAATCCAATAACTTCTTGTCAAAGCATGTAATTAATAAAGACTTTTCTCGTTTCTTTTAGAGTCAAACTTAATAAGAATGTAGTCACTTTAGGATTGCCCTTTAAAATAAAAATGAAAGAGCCTCGCTAAATAAAACGTAAGCTGCAAGGCTCTCAATAAATGGTTAATAATAAATTAGACTTCGGATGGGCCATTTTAGCAAGATTTCACGACCATCTAAAAATAATAATGCACTAGTCGCTGAGGTGCGCCTTTAATAATTTACTTTCTTAAACACGGGTGTACATTGATGTAACCCAAATCCAAATCTCAACGGAGTCAAAATGTATCGAAGACCATGGGTACATTGATTGTGACATGGTTCGAGATACATTTTTACAACGTTGCAATTCTCCATAATAATAATAATGAAAGCGGTAAAGAGTTTGAAATTTGTACATAAGTTCGTATTTGTATAAAATCAGATAATTAAGCCGAATATGACAGTTGAGCGACCGTGGTAGAAACACGGAACTCGGGAATGCATAACACCTTCTCCCGGGTTAACAGAATTCCTTATCCGGATTTCTGGTGCACAGACTGTTAAACAGAGTCATTCTTTTTCTCGATTCGGGATTCAATCGGTGACCTGGGACACCATAAATCTCCCAAGTGGCGACTTTGAAATAAATAAACAAATCCCGTTTCGATTGTCCTTTAATTGGAAAAACTCCCTTCCGCGCCCTTTAAGGCGGTGCGGGTGAAAAAGGAGGTGTGACAATGGTGTTGACGAAAGTTTCCTTAAAGCAACAAATAAGGGTACCATATTGACTACTTGCACACATGATGGAGGTAGTGAGTTGACTGCATCTACCTTGTTTCTGCAGTTTGTATAATGTTGCAGTTTCATGTATAAAAGTGTATAGGATTTCACAGCTACTGTTTTTATAAAATTTGCAGTTTGTATAATTGTGTATAACTGTGTATAAGATTTGTATAATTGTCTGAATCCTAATATATATTTTGTATAAATAGGAAAAATCCTTCCACTTGTATATGCAATTGTAGATTCATAGAATAACAAATCTTGGGAGTGGTTCTTTGTCCAGATAAAAGGTACTTTTGGTGTTAGGGAAGGGATGTGTATAGTTTCAGATAGAAATAAAAGCATCTTCAATGCCACAAAAGCTGTGTACCCAGAAGTACCACATTGTATTTGCATGTTTCTCTTGTGGCAGAATGTAAAGCGCACATTCAAGAAACATCACAAACAATTGAAGGATATCTTCTTTGCTTTGGCTAGAGCTTACACGACAGAGAAATTTGAGTACCATATGACAGAGATGTGTAAATTGATCCGAGGGTGCAGCCTTACTTATTTGAAATTGGCTACGAAAGGTGGTCTAGGGCATATTACAAAGTGAAAAGGTCGATGGTAATGACTTCCAATATTGCAGAGTCAATTAATGCAGCAAACAAGGATGCTAGAGAGTTACCAGTAATGCGATTGCTGGAG